GAGGAAAAATACAGGATGTTAAGTTGACAGTGCCTACTGTAAATGTCCATGGTGGTGCTTTAGATGCTGATTTAAATCTCACTGAACAAAAAGGAGTAAAAGGGATCATTGAAATACCAGGCTTTAATGTAAGGGGACAAAAGGGAGAGACTGCAAGTGGGTTAGACATGAAGCCAGATGCATCATTATCTGGTGTGATGGAGTACCAAGATGTTAATGTAACCTTTCCCAAAATCAAAGTACCAAAGTTTGGTGTTGCATTGCCTAAAGTAGGTGGAGGAGAGATGGGAGTTGATGTAGGTTCATGTGAATTGGCTGCTGGTTCTAAAGTTACTTCCCAAAGTCTGGAAATTGAGAACACTGATATGAAAAGCAGTGGTGGAAAAGTGAAAGTCAAAATGCCAAAATTATTTGTCAAATCTAAATCTAAAGGTGGCAGTGCAGCTGATCTTATTGTTGAGGGAGAAGGTGTTGATGTTACAAGTAAAGGTGGTGCAAAGGTGTCTAAGGAGTTGAGCCTTAGTTCCGGGGAATTGACAAGTGGCAAGTTGACAGTAGAGGGAAGCTCTGGGTTTAAAGTTTCACCAAAGAGTAAATCTGCCTCCCTTGACCTCTTCAAAAAAACACATCACTCATCCTCTGTAAGTGATGAGGGAGGTTTAGCTTCCCCTGTTTCTGCTGAAGGCCACTTACAGGCAGAGGGTGGCAACGTTTCAGTTGATGTTGGAGAAAAGGTTAAAGGCAAAAAAGGAAAGTTGAAGTTTGCTACAATTGGAGGTTTTAGCTCAAAAAGTAAAGGTTCATATGAAGTGACAGATGAAAGTGAGGTTAGGATTGAGGGTGCTGGTGGAGTTGCTCAGTCTTCAAAGAAGTCCAGAATGTCATCATCATCTAGCAGTGATAGTGGTTCAAAAAGCAGTTTTCGGCTACCACATCTTGAAATAGCGGTTTCGCCAAAGAAATAGTTTTCACGCTATTATCTATACACAGTACATTCACATACACACTTTTTTCAGTCTAGATGACTGTGTAAATCTGTCTTTCATTTAAGCAATGGTGCACTGCCATATTGACTGTTTCTTCAATTCCCACATATGTTCTTTACAGGCATTGATATATATATATATAATTTTTTTTCTCCAAAAGCTTGTTTTTTTTGATAACTTTATAAATGTCTTTACTGTCTTTACTTTAGATCAATTTAATGTGTCCTTACTGAATAAAAGTATTAATTTCTTTCAAAAAATCTTTTGAACAGAAGTGTATATATTACATACTGTATATCGCTACAGCAGTTAAATTTTACATGCTTTAAACTTTTATGTTATTTAGTAGTTTATGGTTAAAATTCTCAAACCTTTATGTTAGAGACACTAAAAAGATTAGGATTCCAGAACAAGAAGACGACATACTGAGAGACGTCCATATGTGGGTGAATGATTGGCCATGAGAAGTCTATGGTTAGTGAGTTTTCCAAAGATTAGCTTTTTCTTTCATATGCTATATGGTGGCTTTGTATGTGTCCGTGGCTTGGCAAATACAACCAATGCAGTGCTGGGATCTGCTCAGAGAGAGTAAACCAGGCCAGGCTAATATTAGAGGTTACATATTGCTGATGGCTTTTTTTATGTTCCTAGCATTTCTCCTTGTTGACAGCATGCGTTTTGAACACAGGGTGTTTTCAGATCTTCTCAAGGTTGTGTGCGAAGATAACACTTTCGTATGTCAGCGTATGTGTGGTGGAGCAAGTGACTGTATTTGCATGTGGGTCCCCCCTGAGGGTGAACTGCAACTACTTTGCATGCTTAATGTGGGAGACATACAGGTTTCTATGTTTGTGTATGTGATTATATGTAGGTGAGTGTATGTACGTGTTTTGGATTTTAATAATATATGCTTGTTTTGTGTTTTCTTGTATGCCTTTCAGTTTACGTTAAACTCAACAATAATGCAATGTTTTCAGCTATGATGGGTTTGACTTTTATACATTTAATTAAATACTCAGTGGTATAATGCAGTGGTTCTCAACAACCAGGGGGCTGAAGCCCACTAAGGGCTTTTTATTTAAAAAAAAATAAAGAAATATATGTATATACCATATACTGAAGAATAATTGGTTGAGAACCACTGCTATAATTTTAATAACTGTGCAATTGAGAATATAGTGTGTGACAATATGAAAAATATAAACTTATCCATTAGAGAATATTGTGCATACATTCTCCAATGGTTTTCCATACCTTCAAGAATTGCACAAAAAAACTCAGTTTTCTAGATTCTCAGTAATTGGCTTCCAAACAAATAACCAAAGGTTAATCATACACTAATGTTAGGGAAACCTTCTGGGTTTATTCCAGGGCAAGCTTATATAGCCCCATACAAATGTGCTTACTCTTATCACATGTAATGGTGGTGAGGCACTAAATTTGTTTTCCACTGAGAGAAACTAATTAGTCATAGAAAGAAAGCAAGAAAACGCATAGAAACCCTCACAAAGACTCTCTCAGGAGAATTTCATGGTCTGTTGGTGTTGGTGTGTGTTTGTGTTTCTCGCGAGTGTGCAGTGCTCTACGTGAGGCTACGTGTTTCTTCTAGTGTGCTCGGTCCCTCGCTCACAATTTTTCCTCCTCCCTCTCTTTCCTACTCCTTGTCCCTCCCTCCCTCTCGCTCTCTCTCTCTCTCTCTCCCTGTGTGTGCGTAGTCTGGGCACCCTGCCAAGTGGAGTGTGTTTTTTGAATGAATACCTGATGAGGCTGCTGAGGCTGACTGGGGGAGGAGGAACCGTGTTCTCTAGAGCACTGTGTGTGTATGTGTGAAGAGCAAAAGAGAGAGAGGGAGAGAGAGAGAGAGAGAGAGAGAGAGAGCTGGCAGTCTGTTTGCCTTGCATAACATACGCTGTAGCTCTCACACGTAGGGCTAGTGAAACAGCGCAGATGAGGGGACTTCCTTTACCCTCAGCACTCTGAGCAATTGTCGAAGGAAGTGGAGGAGAGTGAAGGCGGGGGGGAAAATTGGACATGGAAGAAAACATAAATCAGAGGATTGCGTGTGTGACCTGATAGCAGAGCTAAACCTGGACAAAGGACAGCTTGCCAGTGGGTAGAGTGAGTTACACTCGTAGTGCAGAGAGAGAGAGAGAGAGTTGTTAAAGGCTCCCCTATAAAGAAAGGTAAGGCATCACCCTTAGATGAAATGTTTGCTTGGTTTTGAATCATACATGCTTATTGCACATACTATATTATTCTCGTATTCCATGAAGGGAAGCAAATATGTGCATGCATTTGAGAAATCAATTTATTGTAGCTAATAATAAACAATAGGTTTTGCAGAAATAGTTGCAATTCTGTGCAAATGTGTCAGTGTCACTCTGTATGTTGTGCTCGTTTGCTTATGGGGAGAGAGAGAAACAGGCTTTAGTCATTGTAAAGGCAGCAACAGCTCTGTTTGGATTCATGTCTAGCTTAGGACTCCCTAGACTGCCTCTTAAAGGGGTAGGCGCCCATATAAAAGGTTGTTAAGTGCAGAGAGGAGCTGCATACAGGCGCTAAATGGACATGAGTGAAAATCCTTTGAGCATATAAGCATGCTTTGTGAGGAAAGAAGTTAATATGAACATTTCATTTCAGAGCAGTTATGTTTGTATTTGTATGCATAATCACTGCTACTGGTTCAGTCATCTCTGAGATGACATCATTGTAAAAGGTGTCACAGCACCCTGTGAGTAAAACGTTCCTGGGGATTTTACATTAACACACTGTGCACAGAATTAACTTTGTGTTACATACAACACAGAGCAAAATTATGTGACACTGTTTTTGTTTGTGTGGCAGATAAATTGCGAAAGGGGAATAGTTACATTCTGAAGTCTTTGTTTTTGTGCCAGCTACTCAGACATGTTACATGTTGCTTTTATTGGCGCGTTAATGTCTTTGTGTGGGATTATTGGTGTGAATATGTTGCTTTGATGACATTTTGAACTGTAGTGGGCTTGCAGAGCATGAGATCTACTGTTAAAGAACTAGAAGGATACTGCAAGTTGTTAATCTTTCTGGCTCTTTGGCTCAGCCACACTGTGAGCGAGTGTGTGCGAATGTGTGTGTGTGTCAGGTTTTGTCTACATTGCGAAAACTAAATGGCCCTATAGGGATAGTAAATCCTTCAAGTGAAATCACCTACAATGATTTATTTCATAAGTTAAACAATGTCCTAATGAAGCTGTAAAAGAATGGTTTCTGAGGGTTAAATATAGGGTTAAGCTCAATTTAACAACAATAGTAGTCAATAGGAAGACTCATCGAGGTTCTTTCAATAGAAAATCCATCTGTTGTTGGCACGTACTACAGTTCTATGGCATGAATCAGCCACAAGCAGAAAGAAACCAGAAATGAAGCATCACCTCCGTGTGGCTGTATTGCCTTGCAGGCTTAGTTTGAGTTAGCTATTTTGAATTGTGGGTGTATTTCAGTAGTGCTCTCTGAAACCCTCTGGAAATAGACAGGCAAATATGACACCCAGTAAAAGAGAAATAGTGCATATGCACATACAGACACACACAAATAATGTGTGAAATGTAGGTATTCTTGAAACTTTTTCAACATTCCCTCCCAAGTTCTACTCTAAGCTGTTATTATATATATATATATATATATATAATACCATAAGGAACTCAGCAAGCGTATACATGCAAGTACGCTAAAGGCAGAAGAACATCTTTTAGAAACGCAAAGTGCATGCAAATATTACATTCAGAATACTTAAAATCCCTCTATAGAGGCTTGGGCTTTATATCCAGTTTCAATCTCTCAGTATTTTTTTACAGTCACATGAATGACTGTCTGTCCGGTTTAGAGGTTAATGGTAAACAATACTGTCTGCCTGCATTGTGAATGTTTGTTTTTCATCCAATTTTTTAGGATGTAATAATGTATCACAAAAATGTTTATGGATCCCTGTAAATACATGAAATGATAGGGGAATGCAGTTATATATATGTAATGTTTTTAATGTACTTTTGTTATGCTGTGTGCATTGAAAGCTGTGTAAGACTGTGATCTATGTGATCACTACAGTTCTATTGTTCTTTGATACATGAGCACTCTGCACCAAATCACATATGCATAAGCGTGTATCAGTCCAATGGATATGCTGATGTGTACGTGTGTGTATTGCGCTCTGTGTACAATAGACTAAAGCATTTAATGGCTGTGTGTGGTGTAAGCTGTAGCAGGGGAAAGTAGGACAGTGATTGGTGCAGATCTACTGTGGTGAAGGGATCTCTCCCTCCCTCTATTCCCCCCTCCCTCACTCTCTCTTGCTCTCTCTCTCTTTCTTCTCCACTGTTACACTCTAACTCAATAACTATGCTCGCTTGCAGGCAGAGCTCAATGTGGGTCAGGAGAGCCAGTGTTCTCTCTTTCTCTTTCTGTATTCTCATCCTTCATCTTTTTCTTGTCCACACACTCTTTTCACATATTAAGTTTTCACCCTGTGCTCTCTTCATCCTCATTGATGTATGTAGATGAACTGTATGAATGTGCAAACATTATTAATCCTTAAAGCATGAGAACGATTTAGATTTACATTTGATTATGGAGACGTGTTCATTGTACCCCCTTGGAGATCCATTACTAATCACTTGAATAAAAGCATCATTCATAAATGCATTAAAGGGATAGTTCACCCAAAAATGAAAATTCTGTCATTAATTACTCACCCTCATGTCCTTCCAAAACCTGTAAGACCTTCATTCATCTTCGGAACACAAATTAAGATATTTTTGATGAAATGCGAGAGCTCTCTGACCCTCCATGGACAGCAAGGGTACTACCACGGTCAAGCCAAAGAAATGTAGTAAGGACATCGGTAAAACAGTCCATGGGACATCAGTGGTTCAACCGCTTCAAAAGCTACAAGAATACTTTTTTTGCGCAAAGAAAACAAAAATAACTTTATTCAACAATTTTCTCGTCCGAATGACGTCTTCTGCCATTATGGAGAGTACCACGACGCATGCGTTTCTCTGCACGTAAACAAGGCGCAGTGTTCTACAGTACGTCAGCAGCACCACACGCATGCGTTGTTTACGTGCAGAGGTACTCTCGATAATGACATACATTCGTTTTCACTAAACTGTTGTTTACACTACTAATACATAGAAAAGAAAAGGAAGTCAAAGTGTTCAGTAGATAAGGTGAGGTTTGACTTTGTAATTAGCATATTAAATAAAACATTTCGGTTGCTAAACAAAATCAAATGTATTCCATTTCAAACTATTTCTTTATTTTGCACTCATAACTGAAAGGATGTTACTGTAAGATCAAAAATTACATAATATGCTACTTTTAGGCACATAGGTTTGAGCTTGTTTTATAGACTCAAAGGCAGTGCATAGAGGATACACTTTCTCAATGTTTGTTTTTGTTTTCTGTCTGTCTGATGAAGGTATGGACCAATAGCCATCAGTGAGAGATGATTCCACATGAAGCACATGAATCCTTTCATGACAAGAGTCCTGACAATGGGCAAGACTATAGTAAAAGTGGAGCAAAGTAATAGAACAATTAAAATCTTGACAACTGAGTTCTACTTTGAACTTTAAAACATCCTGATCAAGACGAGTGGGTTAAAATACGGGACAAGCTCCAAGACCATGAAGTCTAACCAGGAGCGTTGTAATGAATGTCTTCCGCCAAAAAAGCGGGAGATTTTAGCTCTGGAAGGGAAGCAGGTGCTGGTGTCAGCTGCTGTTAGTGAGAGCCAGAGTGGAGAGAATTTGGCTTGGCTAGCCAGTGTTGCTACCATGGCTAGCATGGCCCACATCCCCAACAATGCAGGCCCATCACAGAGCAACAGTGCTGAGCCTGACAGCCCCCCACCATCAAATAAGGCTCTCACTGTGGTGACGGAATATCCTCCAACTACTAGCAGCTCCCAATTATTGGCTACATCACCAGTGCTTCTGGTGGACCCCAGCAAGCAGTAACTGGTTATCAAAGCAACCTGCCACAGCACGTGGTGATCTCAGGCAACCCCTCCTTGCTCATTCCAGTGAGTGCCACTAACATCAATCCAACTACTGCTGAGCCGGAGGTCACCCGCTGTTCTGTCATCCCCAGTGTTGCAAATGCATCAACAGCTCTGCCTCAGACCTTTATTAATACATCCCCACCTGCAGCTGCAGCTTCAGTCCTACCCAATGGTAAAGACATCACAGTTTCTGATGGAGGTCATGCCTCCTGTGTCATGCCAAGTCCAACCCAAATACAGCTGCCTGTTCTTTCAGCCGGTGTAGTGGGGTCTCCAGTTCCTGTAACACCTCCAACATCCACAAGCCCTCACAGCTCACCATCATCACCATCACCAGACCTACCACCATTCTTCATGAAGGGCTCTATTATCCAGTTGGCAGACGGCGAACTAAAGCGTGTGGAGGATCTGCGGACAGAGGACTTTGTGCAAAGTGCGGAGGTGAGTGGAGAACTGAAGATTGACTCCAGCACTGTAGAGCGCATAGAGTGCAGCTGCACACCCAATGCTGTCATCATACAGTTCTCAGTGGGAGAGAACAAAGCCCAGGTTAGTCAGTTTCTTTTCAAACCAAGCTCACTTGTCATGTTAGCAGTAATCTTCGGTAGAGCTTAATGAACCATTGGAACTCAAATATTATTCTTGGTTTTCTCTGTTTTAGGTCTGTGTCGAGGTTCTGGTGGAATACCCTTTCTTTGTGTTTGGTCAAGGTTGGTCGTCCTGCTGCCCTGACCGCACCACCCAGTTGCTAGCACTATCCTGTGCCAAACTCTCTGTGGGTGATGTTTGTATCTCTCTAACCCTTAAAAGCCTAAAAGATAGCATTCAAAAGAAAGAGAATTTTTCAGACTCTTTGACGAAATACAAACCAGCCAAAAACAATGGGCCAATGGAGGAAAGACTAACCCAAATGGAGGATCTTAAGAAAGGACACAAAATGACATCAGGAGTGGAAAATACTGCAGGAACACTGGTTGAGACTTCTAACCCAAGAAATGTGTTGACCCTCTTGGAGAATGGGGGAATAATTTCTCAGACACAGGTGAACCTCCAGACCCAGGCAGAAAAGACATGCACATTTAGTGTCGAGAGAGCAGTTAGCCGCAAGAGGAGATGGTCTGCTCCAGAGAGGGGAGAAATGTGGAGGTCACAAGAGGACCCTCAGATTTTACCCAAATTTTCCTTCCTCCCACATCGGCTAAAGGTCAGCATTGAGGGCCGCTCTAGCACAGGTTGCTGAGGACGTTCAGAACTCCATAGAGCAGTGGTGGGGAGTCAATTTCTAACCAAGAAATACATTAATTAGCCTTACTTAATTTGAGAAATCACATAATGTTGATTAACTGAATAAAATTTATTTTTGCTTGGTGTCCAAGAAAATGCTTTTGCTTCAACAACAGAGACTCAGAATACTTTCCCCATCACTGCCATGGACTCCAAGAGGGACAAGGAAGAGCAGATTTACTTTTTGGTACTTTGTTGCTTTCCTATCACATTCATATCCAGGTTACTGTAACTAATGTGTTTGATCATTTGAGTCATGTCATATGTAATATGTATCCTTAGACATTCTTTTTAAATCAGCTGGACATGACAGTTTTGGCTTGTATATTGCAAGTTCTGACCACTTTTTTCTCAGCTTGCTGAGCAGTTGGTGTATAATTTTAGTCTACTGTTACGTGTACTGAATTAATTCATAATCAGGGCTTTGACTGGATATGGACTGTTACATGGATTAATGGCAAAAGGTTAACAGTAAGACATGTCATTTGTGTGACTATGATTACGAGTGACTTCTGCAAGTTGTGTGAAAATGATTATCTTGACAGACGCAGCCTTCCACTTGTTACTGCCCCCAATAATCCCTTGCTTACATAATGTCATCTGAGAGTGACATGCTCGAGTGACTACTTTGAATCAGACTTAAGTCAAGTAAAGCATCAAGATACAACATTGAATGTTAAATGATTTATCCTTATATGTTAATTCAATTGCTGATAGTCTTCTAGATATGCAATACTGAGCTTTCACATACCTCATGTGTGCATTTAACAATTAACCCAATCAGATGGCCTGATCGGATCTGTGATCTCAGTTTTGAGTGAGAAAGCGTTGGAAAAATCTTCACATTGTCAAAGTGGCTGTGTAGAGAAGTCTCCGTTTAAGTCAGAATTAGCACTTTAAAGAAAGGTTAGGGGAAGTTGAATGAATGGATGGAAACATTCCCACCTTTGTTTTGTTACTACAGCAACAGGCCATTTTGAGTGCTGTTAGTCATTTTGTGCATTACTACCCAATTTATGTGCAAAGCACTTCTCATTTAGTGTTTTTCAATAATGATGTCTTCTTTACACTATTTTAAGTATTGGGGCCTTAATCAGTCCAGCTGCAATAATGAATTCTTTGTTAAAGACAATATAATTGCCATACAAATAAATCTACGCAGCATACTCAAATGTTCAAAACAAGCCATGCTTTACAGGTTTATCACAAACAGAATTGGCCTTTTTGTATTAACTTGTTTATATAATAAATTTAGCATCTGATAAAGTTAACAAAATTACATAGATATGATCATTTAAATAGTAAGAATCAGTGGGTCAAAGGAGGATGCTGTGCTGTGTTCAGTCTGCTCTGTCACTGAAAATGTAAATTTCCAGTATAGGCAAAAATTAATTGCGAACATAGACATAAGACATCCTGAAAGGACTATGCTTCAGTCTCTCACAGCCTATTTTTTGTCTGCATCGAAATCATTTATAGCTACTACTCAGAATAAGGTATGTCATCCACTGTGGGTCTCTTTTATAATTTTGATTCTCCATACTTAGCAGTATACTGCTAATGACCTAAACACGTAATGGTCTTGTAACTTCTCTGCAGAGAAAAAAAAAGAAAATACAATATGAATGTTGAGACACTATCTTTAGATTTTAGTATACACATTATCTATTTTCTCTGTCTTTATCTTTGCTGTGCTGGTCATGTTAAAGGAATTAATTTAGTACACTGCAATGAAAAATAACAGAGAAGGTAATAATCCATAAACTTTCATTTTTAAATGACAAATGTAATTGCTCTATTCCATAAACAAAAGCCTTATGGGATTGTCTTCAGATGTATTTTGTGTGAAACAGTCACAAAATAATTCTTATCCAACTCAACTGACTGTTTAATACATATGAGTGCTGTTATAAATTCAGAAAAAAAATCTTTGAATACATATAAGAATTTTGCTATTTGCACAAGTAGACATTTTAAAGAGTAAAGCCGAGTATGGAAACTTATAGTTAACAGTAACACTTCATATTGCCAGCTCTGTAGGTCACCTAAAAACTATTCATTTTGATATGTGTGGCCATGAGTGTGAGTTTTTCACTAAAGTCAGTTTGTTGACTGACTTGAAAAAGGTATTGTTGCGTCTAGGGTTTTATTCAGATGGAATCACACTAGACCTCATATTGTAGAAGTAATGCTTGATTGCACATTCAGTCCAATTTGGATTTGGATTTTATGCACTTTTGAAGAGAGAGGACAATGAAAGAGAAATGAAAGGGATTGTTGATTAGTAGCCACACAGCTACAATATGTTCAATACAGTCCATTGTACTGGTGATACTGGTAAGGCAGTAGAAAAGTCAGTGCTATGACAATAGACTAGAAACCATTACAAAAGTGTCAATGTTTCTAGATTGTTGTTTGTTTCATATGTATCATTGTTCTCTCTCTTTTCTCTCTCTCTTTTTTCCTGTGTAGCTATGTACATGTAAACCTCAGTGTGTTTGTGCACTGTGTGGATAACTTCATTGAAGACAGTCAGGTTTCAACACTGTTGGCAACGAACGTTCTTTTATCCAGTGTGTGCTATTCTGTTTCAACCTAACAACAGCGATTTATTATCATCTGCATCAAAAAAAAAAAACTTTTTTTTTGTTTGTTTGTTTTTAAAAAGAAGGCTGTCAACCACTTGAAGGCATAAAAGCATTATAGCGATTTATAGTCAAACTGCATTCTCAGGTTGAGAAACTGGCCCGACTGTTTCTGTTCCTGTGTTACTTTTTGCAAAAATGCTCAGTTACAAAAAAATTAGCTGGTGATCATTTTAGCTCCAGTGCTATGACTCATGGGAAGTCACTGGCTGACTATTGCGCCCTCTACATCCCATCATTGTACATGCACCCAATGTTCAAAGGCGGCTAACTTTAACTAGCATGATGAGTCATGTTGTGAATGTAGCTCTAGTGCTTGCTATTGAAAATGCATTCATATGGGAAAATACAACTTTCTGTTGTATGTACAAATTTGAGCAAATTTATGAGCAAATTTGGATTAAAATATCCAAAGACAGTCAGAATTTGCTGTACGCATATGCCTCAATGGTCCATAGCCAGGATTAGTTCTAGCAATACCACAAGGCCTCATTTAGGGTTGGAAGACCAAACTTGATGTCTAGAAATTGACCTATAGAATACACATCATTGATCTCATTGTTTTTTTCTTTTTCAAGGAAGATCTAGATCTTATACCTCCCGTTAAAACCTCAATCGCCAGAGTGACATTTCTTCAAAAAAGAAGAAAAAAGCACATAACTGATTTCTCATTTTCTTATATATTCGATGTAAATGACTATATTTGTGTGATTCGTTGTACCTGTGATATTTTTCTCATTCTTTGACAAGCTCCTTTTCTACAAACTGACAAAAAGCAATGAAGACAGAAGTCAACCTCAGCTTTTCTAACTGTGGCGTGTTTATGTGAACAGAGCATCCAAGACTGTTCAGTGAAGTCAGTGATAATTTCTTTGGTGGTGCTTGCAAGTTTTTGTAGCTGTTTTGATTTTTGTGAAATAGAAAGGAACATCGGACTCGACTTTTGGCTAATATGTCTAGTTCAATGACTTCCTGTATAGTACAAATCTATTGTATCTGTATAATCACTCTAATAAAATACTGTGCCAATTTTAGTTGCCTTTTTCCTTCGATGAACTGTGATTTTATTTGAGATGATAAACCTAAAACTGACTGAAATCAGTTTTTTGTTGTTGTTTTTACTGTACAGCCACACATAGATGCTTTGAATTATTCAATTATTCAATGACAAAGTTGCTGTGGTGCCATAGGAGAACAATTTTGGTTTCCCCAAATAATCTTTTAGTGAACCAATCTTAAGAGAATCACTTTTATTAGTTTAAAGAACATTAATGTAAAGATCCTTTTGTGCGTTGAAAGGTTATCATGGATGCTAAAGGTTCTTCATGGAAACATAGGTGCTAATAAAGAACCTTTATTTTTAAGAATGTGGAGAGATAAAATATGGAGAAAGAGTGGAGGAGTGACTTTCAATAAAATGATAATTGCCCCATGTCTCCGATCACAGATATGCACTTTTCTAAGACACTACCCAGCAAGCAATAGCCGTCATTTCAACGTCTCGGTTAAGTATAGACCCGATATAGTCCGGCTATGTGTGACCCACTTCTAGCCCAAATAATCTTGAATTTGGTTTCATGTCGTTTTTTGGCAAAATAACTAGTGAGATTATGTATGGATTGCCATTTTGTTGTCTATTAGACGTATATATGTAGTCGTTTAATAGCCGTCTAATTGATGACTAGTCTATAAATGGGCTATGATTAGACGTCTATTAGATTTTCACTGACAGCCCAAATTTAGCCTTGTTTTAGCCTAGACCCATATTCACCGTCTATTAGACGTATATATGTAGTCGTTTAATAGCGGTCTAATTGATGACTAGTCTATTCTTGGGCTATGATTAGACGTCTATTAGATTTTCACTGACAGCCCAAATTTAGCCTTGTTTTAGCCTAGACGCATATTCACCGTCTATTAGACGTATATATGTAGTCGTTTAATAGCCGTCTAATTGATGACTAGTCTATACATGGGCTATGATTAGACGTCTATTAGATTTTCACTGACAGCCCAAATTTAGCCTCGTTTTAGCCTAGACGTCTAGGCTATATTTAGACGTCTAATAGACGTCTTTTAAACGCAAAATTGCTTGCTGGGTACCTTCAGGTAAATACCTTACATCAACTCCAGCCACCCATTACATAACACATGCAAACACACTCAAAGTATAGCTTGACATGAAAATAGCCTGTGACTCAGATGGGTAAGATTGTGCAAGAGTTATGAACTTTGGGCTAAATGGTTTGTCTGTAAGCCTATAGTTAATGCATAGTAGATTTCTTCATGGAGAACATTCTGTTCCTTGTTCCAGGCTTGCAGATGACAACCTGGGGCAGCACTGTTTTTCTTTCCTGAACATTTACCTTATATCATAATGTCTTTATCCACCAAATAAATGTCATACTACACATACTATACATCCAATATCACACGAGTGATGTTGATTAATACTGTTATACGAATGCTTTCATATAACAGTTCAATAAACAAGAAGTAAATGTTGAATAACTTACATTGTAGACAATTTTTCCAGTTGTCGGTTTTTGCTCCACCAAAGAAAACTGTTTCAAACGAAGCCAACGCAGAACTAATCGCTGAATTTCTCCGAGCAACAAAAACATTTGTAGTGTTTCGTTTCTAAATGAATCAATGTGTTTGAACTAATTGGGTGATAAAATGATTCAATGACTCACTCATTAAAACGTGGCTGTATTCGGAACAGCATACTAGCATATTACAACTACTATTTTTGCAATGTATGACATGCATATTAGGAGAATTACTGTTCCGCATTCAGTCGGTCACTTTATGTGAATTAGAGTTTTTGAACGAATCAGGTGAATAAATAAATGACTCACTCATAAAGACTTGTCGCCTCCTACTGGCGTATTGATGTATCCTGTAGAACGAGTCTCTATAAGACTACAAACAAGCCTCTCGGCATTAATTAATTAAATAAATATGTAAATATTTAGTATATATGTAGAATATTTATCTCGATTTAGCCTACATCATTTTTAAATACAAGCATATTAAATTATAAGCAGATTGAAATTGTATTTTTAACTGGCCATGCTCTGTAAAGAAGTATAACACTGTCAGGACACTTATTTGATAGTTATCTTTACTGTACTTTACAGTACTTGCCTAGCCTTCTCAGAATTATCATAACGTTATACTGGCTATAACCTTTGCCATCAATTCACTTTCGACAGACACTGTAGTCTGCATATCAGTACTGTAACACATATAGCATATCAGTAGTTACATGTACAGTATATCAGTACAGTTATACGTGCAAAACATGAGTCTCACTACCTTAAAATGAGACTCTGTACTGTACAGTACACTGTTAGAGAATCTTTTATTAATATGAAAAAGGGTGTGTGTATATAGTATTACAGTTGCATGACTAAAGGTGCACACGGAAAGATGTAATATGTCTAGAATAAGGTCCTAGAATTAATTAAACAAAACAAAAACAAAAATACCAGTCAGGTATTAAAAGGTGTGTAAAAGCTCTTTATTACATAACGAAATATTGATGAAATACATGTCAATCTGAAAGAGGACATAATTCTTTGTTATATGGACCCTTTTGTAATATAGTGCATAATAGACTTATTTTATGACAACTGCAGTAGCACTAGAAAGAACCCCTTTTCATGTAATTTAACGAAATGTATTTTCTGAAATATTTGTAAGATAAAACTGTATACACACAGAGACAAATATAAAATACACCTTTTTAAAAATCCTTTCTGATATAGAATACAGTTGATGTGGAGTGTTAAGAACTACATTTGTATTTACTTATGTGTCCTAATACAGTAACTAAACAATCATAAGAGTACCATGCCCAATATTTGCCTCTCTTAATGACCTCCAGTGTAAAACTGTTTATTCATTTTTATGCCTATAAATATAGTGCATACTGTGAAAAATAACAGTATGATTAACAGTAGTAATTGTTTTTTTTGTTTGTTTTTTGAGGTATTTGCGGATAGCCGGCCTCACCCTGTGATGTTCAGCTCACTCTTAAGAACCACTGTATAATTTATCATAACATTTCTTCTGTATTTTTAAAATAGTCTCATGGTGTCCATGTATGGTGAGCAGATGTTATCCATCCTACATCTGGCAGGTATTTTCTTTATCGCCACAATCCTCTGAGACGGAAGTCCCTCTGGACACACTGAAGGTGGTGGTTTTTGCCTCTGCCAGGCCAAGTAGACTAGCACAGGTGGGTAAATAGACATGCTGAACACGGTCCACATCTGAACGGCACACTGAACAACACTGATAAGTGAGGAAAGAAGTGAAAATATCATTAATGTCAAACATATTCTTATTTAAACCTATATTTTTTTCTTTTTTGTTTTTGTTAATTATGCAGTTAGGCGATGTGCCAGTTTTAACTATCCAGTCATGCACCACTGAACTGAATGATATAAGACTTCTGTGATGTCAGAAGGTGAAATTCAAAAGGTCACAGGAATATTGCGTAACGAGAAATGTCTGATTATCAAGATCTTCACCCGCTAATGGCTGACAGCACATGTCGAGAAATATGTTAGGAGGGTAACTAGAAGTTATGTAAACCTAAGAGTGTAAGTTCTCTTAATCATTAACTTAACTGGTCAATTTAGATGATTGCTAAGCATGAGAAAAAAATTACTTTCTTTTATTTGTCATCAGTGTTGAATATGTTGAATGTTTTTTCACAAGAAAATACCACAATATTACACAATACACAATATTATATGTGATATAGTTATATATAATATATGAGATATAGTGTTTTATATATAAATATATATACAGTATATATATATATATATATATACACACACACATACAGTCATCTTTAGCACAGCCTGCATGGATAGAATTTGACTTAAGTATATATTGTTTATTATTGTAAGTTATATACATACATACATTATATATAGTTCTAAATAGCACTAATCTTGTAGTAATTATACAATAATCACCTGAAGTTGGCTGGCGCAGTTATAGCAGCAGAACATGTGTCCACAAGGACAGAACGCAGCATTGATCTCCTGTTCGCAGCACAGAGAGCAGGTCAGGGCCTCTTGTAGCCTTTGGAGCTTCTCCTTCAGAACGCAAGTTTCTCTGCAGCTGACGCACGTCTGTTCCTCCCTTTCAACTTTTGTCTGTCTCAGTGGAGATAGACTGCAATCGTCTCTCGGACTCCCACATCCAGTCACAGCCATCCCTGCATTGAACAAGGCTCGTCGCGCACGGTCATACACTTCTTTGGATGTGCGCTGGATGTCAAAGATGTACCTTTTACCAAGATCAATGCTTTCGTTGAGGAAGAGGGAAGCCAGGTGACCCTTGAAGTCACGGCTATATTGCATCTTCACCGAGCTTGTTACAGTGTCACACCTGAAAAGTTAAGTTCAATTGTGTTAAATTAAAAATGGATATGAAATAGTTTTAAATTGCTTTATGGTTTATATGTTTAATGTATTGATCACTAATGGAGCCCATAAAGTTTCTGTATTGCAGGTGTTGTGAATATACACAAACTAGAAAATCTGCTAATCTTTACATTAAGATGACTTTAAATTAAAAATTCAGAAATTAAACACAGTGGTATTGTTGTTAACAAAAATTCAAAAATTTAAATGAAAACATTTTTAAGCATTTTTGTTGCTAAATAACATACAACTAGAATAAACTTTTAAAAAACGAACCTAAAACTAACAATGAAAAAGTGAAAACCAACAAAAAAACTAAAGTCAGACAGATTTAAAATAAAAACTAAATTAGAATTCAAAACTATAACAGCCCTGGATGAACAGTACAAATGCTAAAATAGTATTCTCTTCTGAAATCCCTTTACTAAAGTACGCTTGATACAATCATAACGACATTCACCTGTAGAAGGCATGGATTTCTGTGATAGCACGATATAGTCCGTTGGCAGCACTGGGACTGATGAACTTAAAAAGAAGAACCTCGCTGTCCCCACTGTCTTTTGTAATGGTCA